CTCATCGTCGTCATCATCATTATCGTCACCAACACTGGCAACATCATTGTCATCATCATCATCGTCAACAATGTCATCATCATCATCATCATCATCATCATCATCATCATCATCATCATCATTGTCTACAACATCATCACCAACATCAACAGTTTTATTTGCACCCATTCAACCGAATGGTAGTTATCTTGCTCAAAATCAACAACAACCACATCGGCAACAAGACCCTGACGTTTCACAGACCACACCATCACGTAATTCATACTTGGAGCAGATTTCAGCATCATCATCCTTATCAGCATTATCATCATCCTCATTAACACCATCATCACTGCAATCATCTTCTGTACTATTCGCATCGCCAACATTAACATCTCAGTCATTATCATCACCATTATCATCGTTAACATCGTCGTCGTCGTCACAATCATCGTCATCATCGACCTCCACCACCACCCACTCATCATATCAGCAGCAATTGTTTGCCAAATTCCAGGCCTGGACCCTTAAAAATTACGGCGAGTCCGGCAAGACGAAAACCGTAACTCGAAACAAATACCGGAAGATCGTGAACATCCTCAAAGGCTGTGATTCCCTATCCGGCGAGAACTCGAAACTTCGATTCTGGGTTAAAGCCAAGGGATTTATGCTAGGAAAACGTCATAGTAATAATAATAATAATAATAACTACAATAATAATAATAATAACCACTATAATAATAATAATGTTAATAATAACATTGATTATAATAACAACGACAATAGCAACGTTTTTAACAACTGGAATAGCAATATTGACGTTAATAATCTTAATAATAATAACAACAACAACAACAATAATAATATTAATAATAGTATTAACTACAATAATAATAACAACAATAGTAATATTATTAACTATAATAATTATAATACTGACATTAGTAATAGTAACACTTACGACGATGTGGATGTCTTGTACATACCAGCAAAAGTGAGTTTTATTATTATTGTTGTTGTTGTTATTGTTGTTGTTATTGTTGTTGTTATTATTATTGTTATTATCAATACAATGATGTGATGTGATGTGATGACGAAGACGACGATGGTTGTCGTATTTAAGTTATGATAGTGATCAACGCTGTGTGATGATGATGATGATGGTGATGATGGATGATGATGATGACGTCGTCCTACCAATACCAGCAAGGCTAACGTATAATCAAAAAATTAGAATTAAAAATTAACAAATTGTAAAGTTGAAAAGATTTAACACGAATTTTAAAAAAAAAATTTGTATTCTCACATCATTTTTAATAGGAAAAAATATTTGAAATACCTGGGGACGGGCGTTTGAGATTTAAGTACTTGTACTTACTTAAGCATGTAACACTAATTAGCCGACTGCTAGGTCTAGAATGTACTTTTTGTACTTAAAATTGTGTAAAAACTGACCAAAGTACTTGAAGATTCAAATGTTAAGGCCAGTCAGACTCTGGTCTCTGGTTTTAAATAATGTAATACCAAACTCGGAACAACTTTCTACGTTTGATGGTATTTTCAAATAAAAATAATGGCATTGAAACATGTGTGTGATTTTGTTTGTGTGTGTGTGTGTATGTATGTATGTATGTATGTGTGTGTGTGTGTGTGTGTGTGTGTGTGTGTGTGTGTGTGTGTGTGTGCGAGTGCGTGAAAAAACAAACATGATGTTTTGTTGAATGCTATGAAGGGTTCATTGTTGGAAAGAAAATAATTCGTTCTGCGACCATCATAGGATTTTGTCATCATGTTCATCATCGTCGTCGTCATCGTCATCATCATTAGCATTATCATCAACAAAATCATCTTCTTCGTCGTCCTCATCACACACACACACATTATTACATACATACACGTATAAAGTAACAAAGACATCATCAATTTCACCCTGTAACACAAACACACACACACAAACACTAATAGATTCACACACACACACATACACGTATAGTACCTACATACATATATACACACATACATGCAATGAAACAAACGTACGAACAAACAAACACACACACACACATAAACAGCCGAGACAAAGATTTCAAACGATAAAGGATGGACAGATCTCTTGAAATAATTATTTCTCTCAAAATGTTTGCAAGAAAAAAAAATATGACAAACAAAGAAAATTCAAATTTGAAATTAAAGATTAGGACGAAAAATCGCGAACGACGAGGAGAAATGAGAAAGTGAAAGACATGGACGTCTAGATGGTATAATGGTTAAGATGCTTGTACCATCTATCGCGGTGACCGAATTCGAATGCATGTGTGTTTGGGTTTGTTTGTGTGTGTGATGTGTGTGTGTGTTTGTGTTGCGTGACACCCACAACAGAAAAACAACGACATAAAAATCAAAAATTTACTATAACAACAAAATGAAATGCCAAAAAGAACTAAGCACAACAACAACAACAACAACAACAAACAACATCAATAACAACAATAACAACAACAGCAACAACTACGCAGCAACAGCACAATAACAACACTACAACAATAATAACAACAACAACAACAACAATAATAACAACAACAACAATAACAGCGACAACATCATGACGAGCCACGGGTTATAATAAACGAAATAGGAAATGGCGCTAAAAGCCGATATGGTCGGTAGGACGTATGTGTGTGTATGTGTGTTTGATTGTATGTATGTACGTGTTTGTTTGTTTCTATGTGTATGTAGATGGGTATGTATGTGTGTATGTGTTTGTTTTTATGCATGTATGTACGTGTTTGCTTGCATGTGTATGTATGTATGAGTGTGTAAGTGTTTTTTGCTTGTATGTGTGTGTGTGTGTGTGTGTTTTTGCAAATAAAAAAATTTTATGTTTTGAAAATAAATATCATTGATTGATTGA